TCAGGCCACTTGGTCTTTAAAGAGTTAAGGCCTTTTTTTATTTCAAATATAAAATTAAGACCTGTAGTACTTTGACTGAAAATTAGCAAACCCTTTAAATTCTGTATCGCATAAGTTGTATTCAAAAATTATTTATTTTACCGCCATAGCTTGAGAATCGTTGACATGCAGATTAACTTGAGTAAAGTGTAGAATCATGAGCTTTCCGCAAAAGTAATGTCTGCGCATTGACAGTTCCTGTTTCGTCAAAATTTCAAAAGTTTGTTTCTCAAAAATTAAATTTCTTTAATAATGAAATTTTCTTCATGAGATTTTTGTCGAATTTTTATAAGAATGAGATTTTTATAAAATTCATGCCTTTTTAAGAACATCAAGACAATGTGGTGAAAGACAATACACTTTTTTTAATTTTTTTTTATCTAGGAGCACTTCGTTCCTTAATTTTCTTATGCGTCGTATATGTCACCACTAGAAAGCCGTTAATGTGCACATTCCCTAGATAATCTGCAGATTAACTAATTTACTCCGTTAAAGTGCAGAGTTCCTGATCATTCTTAGTTTTCTTTCAAAAAGTGTGAAAACTATCTAGAAAATTGCTTGAAACTTTTTCAATTTTTAAGGTATTTAAATAAAATGTTTCAAAATTTTTTCCTTGCTCGCGCAATATAAAAGAATTACCTTAAATACTTATCTTGCGCAGTTTTTAACGACTTTTTAAAAAAAATTTAAATAATTAATTTGTAATTATTTTTAGATTGGTCCAAAAATATCGTTTAATTCTATTAAGTATTTATAAAGTTATAGCAAAAAAAGTTTAATTAATTTTTTTTATTTTAAATATAAAAATGTCTATATCTCTATAAATATTTAGTCTAGATTTATGAAAATTCATGCAGATATGAAAAATAACAACTAAAGTAATCTATACAAGTTACAAGCTTATTGCTTGATATTCTGACATAGGGTGCTCAAAAATACTTGTCTTCTCTCTTAAATTTATTGTGGGTGTCTCCCAAAACTCTGAAAGCTTTAAATCTTATTGCTAAATATGAAGAAGCGCATGAAGTAAACATCTCTTAAGTTATAAAATAATCATTTACGCATTTCTTGAAAAATTTAAAAAAATGTCAAAACGACAAAGCGTTTCTTCCATTATTGTAGGATTGTTTATTCTTATATTGGGCAACTTAACTTAACATATAACTTATAACATATAACTTAACATATATAGAAAAAAAGCTGTTTTCCACAGTGTTACGAATACCCTGTTTTTTCTCAAGGTTAGGAAAAATCCCATTGTCAAAAAAAAAAAAATTTTTTTTTGAGGAAAAATATTCAGGGAAAGGTGCAATTATTTACAAAAAATATTGAAAATTAACTTTTTAGTTTTCATTTATTTAAAAATGATATTAATTAACTTGAAAATTTCTACTATTATTTAAACTAGATTGTAATTATAAACTGTTTGAAAAACCTTTTTTATATTTGCTGTTTTTTAATGCAAAGGTTGTCCTCCATTCCTTCCATCAGGTTGGAAGAAACTTATCTCTAAGCTAAACCTATCTCTAAGCCCTAACCTATCTGTAAGTAGTTTTTCTATATATATATATTCACTGTGGAAAAAAGGATGCCATCCTTGTATAAGACACATAGCTGCCAACTCTACTGGATTTGGCCAGTTTCTCCTGATCTACTGGTTTAATAAAAATTCCCGTGGTTTTTATACATTTTTGATAATTCCCTAGAATAGAGTAAGTTTCCTAAAAAAAAAAATCCCTATTGAAATAGATTATTGCTTGTTTGAATATTTAAATAAGTATTACTAATATATAATGAAGCGAGCCTCATTTATAGAAATCAAAACTTTTATTTTTCTAGAATATTCAGTTTATTTTTTATTTAGAGAACTCCCTTTTTAAATTAATAAAAAAAAAACTATCTTAACTATCTTTGTTGAATTAAATGCCTTTTACTATTCAAAATTATTAGTAAACATAATACATAACATTTTAAAGTACATTTAATGTCAGCCATACCTGGAAAATATTGCAGTTTTTTCTATTTTGGTGACTATAAAAATCCCTAAAATTCCCTATGTGTAAAATATTTCGTACATTCTGCAACAATTATCATGAAATTTATAATATTTCGTAAAACCTGCTGGATTTTTTCCTCTCCATATTGGCAGCTATGAAGACAAAAAACTGCCGGCACTGATATAAGTGCAGTCTAGAATTTTTATCGCATTTTTCAGGAAAAGTAGAGAATTTTATTTCTGAAATGAAATTGAAAATAAATTATTTTATTTGCTGGCATTCAGTGAAGACATTAATTATTATTATTCATGGGTATGTTGTGAGGTAGCCGTTGGCCAAATGTCTCTGACATAGCAGCAGGTGGTTGTCGAGAGAGGGGAATGGGGTCGAATTGTTGTGCCACCAAGGAATTGGGGGAAAGTGATGGTTCTTCAACCTCCAACATCTGCCTACCTATATAGCTTTTTACCTTGGGTTTCATCATTCTATATCACTGAATTTTTGGTTGGTTTGATTGAGGGGACGTTCGGTATTCACCCCATCTTCAAGTTCGTGACATTCTTTTTCATGTCGGCTCAAAAAATCTTTTGTGGCTTCGGATCCTAACAAGGCCGATCCTGTCTTAAAGTTCACCTCTTGGAACTTTTTCATGCCGAGTTTTTTTACCTATGTTTTATTAAAAATTTTAACAATTCATACGATTGTTAAAATAAACTTACGTTTACCGTCCTTGTTCTGAGTCGTGTGTATAAAACGCTACAGGAAATTTACAAAGGGAATGCTAAATACAATATTTAAGGTTACTTTTCGTAATTTCTGTCAGTTTACAAGGATTATTTCAAGTTAAGCCTATCTTTACCCAGAACTTCTGTGAATTTGCAACGGTTATTTCAAGTTAAACCTATCTTTACCCAGAGCTTCTGTCAGTTTACAAGGATTATTTCAAGTTAAGCCTATCTTTACCTAGAACTTCTGTGAATTTGCAACGGTTATTTCAAGTTAAGACTATCTTTACCCAGAACTTCTGTGAATTTGTAACAGTTATTTCAAGTTAAGCCTATCTTTACCCAGAACTATTGTGAATTTGCAACGGTTATTCCAAGTTAAGCCTATCTTTACCCAGAACTTTTGTGAGTTTGCAACGGTTATTTCAAGTTAAGCCTTTCTTTAGGTAGAGCATTCTATCCTGATTTAGAATGTGCTTCTAAACGTCAATATGAAGAAAAGACACAGGTATGTGAAAATGAAAATAGTTGGTGGTCTAATTTTTTAATATTTAGAAAGTTATCTGGACCAATGAAAGTTTGCAAAAATTAAGAATTATGTATTATTTCCCTTTGGGCAAGTGCTGTAAAAAGTTCTGTCCAACTTCCAACTTAGCTGAATTTTGCTCACCTTACCTAAACTTTTGGATTTTTTCTCCATTTCACGTTGACAACTTAGGTTTTAACTATTTTTTTTTAAAATAACAGTGCGCAAAAACGCGCAAATGGCGCAGTCACAGCAGTCAAAACGCACACACCATCTCACGAGCAAAAGTGCTCATGCCTTAGTCCGGTGTCATGAAACGCTGTTGTTCTAAACTTTTTCTTCGGTTGCAAATGCATTGAAGTGTAAAAATAAAAATCGAAATCGCAACAATGATTTGACTTATCTCAGAGATGAGTCTACATATAGCGTAGAAAATTATGGTAATGAATAATTTAAACGACTCTCTAGACAATCTTAATTTATTCTTAACTTTCACTTAAAAGAAATTTGCAATAGAATATTTTAATTCTCTTTCTAGACCATAAAAAGTGATCCTGGCATCCTTGTGCCTTTCTATGAAATTCCATCTGCTTTTAAAATTTGCCCTGATTTTCGATAGTAAACATTCCATTTCTATTCATGTTAGATCTACCTTTTTGTTCTTCGCGTGTGGAATGTATTCTTCTTTAGGTCTCATCTTCAGTGTTCGAATGCCCTCGAAACTCCATAATCCGTGTGACTCCGTAGTCCGTGACATCGTAATCCTTTCACTTTCTCCGCACACGCCTTTTTTCGATGACATTCTACATCCAGATTGCTCTCGGACCAAGAAATTATCCCGGATATTTCGATCTCACAATCTATTTCACTCCTGTCGATCGAACTTTTTTGTGGAGGTAAGCTTTATCACTTCATTTTTCGGTGAATGTGTCCCAACACTAGAATAGTTAATGCATTTCCTAATTGATCGTTTATAAAAAATTGTTAATGATTCCAAAATTTGTTTTGTGATAGACATTTCGCCTTATGTGTATGGTTCTTTTTCTTTGGATATTTGGCTGCTTTTTTGGTTTCTTTATAGATCTATTTTTTCCTTCTAGTAGTTACCTTAATATTTTTGGGATTGAGATTGATTTATAAAATGAAATTCATTTAGTTTATTACCTAAATTTTTTTTTATTAATTATTTTGGAGGGATGGGGAGTGGGTTTTTTAACAGGGTGCGTAGCGGTTTTAAAAAGTGCTTTTAAAGATGTTTATTTTTGATTTATGGTATTTAAAAGCCCGTAAAGGTGCTTTTTTTTAATTCGCTGTTTGTAAAAAGTGCTTAATTTTCTATCTTTAAAAAAAAAAAAAAAAGATTTTTTTCTTTGCCGTGTCGATTGCTGTTCTCAATTACAAAAGATGCACGATTTTCGCAATTTTCTCTGCAATGTTTATCAGAAACTATATATTTTATCATAATATGTGAAGTTCTTGAAAATGTTTTTGAATTTTATTGATTTTATGTTTATAAATTAAGAACTTCAAAAGATAGAAGGAAAAAAAAAGAATTTTTATTAGTGCACAGATCCTAATTATTATTATTTTATTTTTTTTGGATAGTGATTAAAAATATTTTTAAAGTGCTTAAAAAGTACTTAAAATGTGCTTATTTTTTGTTGAAATATCTGACTACGCACCCTGTTTAAAATTTTACCTACAATAAGAATTGACCATGAAAACGTGAGATTCTGTGCAAATAACCAATTTTATAATTTATTTGGAAGGGGAAAAAAAAAAAATGATCTTTAAAAATGTATGATTTTTTTTTTTTTTTAGTTTGTAAAAACACTTTATTTTATTGCCTCCAGTTTTTTGTTACTTATGGATGAATTATTACTTTTAAAGCTATGTTTCAATGTATTTTAACTAATTCTTATTCTAAACCTTGAATTAATTACCAAGCATATTTTATTATTTAAAAAAAAGCGAAAACTTAATGATAATAAATAATGTTTCTGCAAAACTTGTGGAAAACTATTTTTCCTTATTTATTGTTGCCAGAATTTAATTATTATGAAGAAAATATAGTTCTTCCACTTTGGAAAAACCATTGTTGCTAGTTAGCGTACCTGAATGATATTTCAATTTATCATTATCTTTGTAATTTTATTTTGTATTTGTAAACAGTATTCGAAGGTGCTATGGTAATAAATGATAAAATTCTCACGATTGACTATACTATATATAATTATTTTGTTTCATTTTATAACCAACGCCGTAACACTAACCCAATTCTGAGTTAACGACAATCAATAGTTAACACAGTAGCTTTGTAATTTTGAACCCAACCCAGAAGACAAAAAAGCAGCGTTTTTTAAAAAGTGCTTAATTTTCCCTTTTTCAAAATGAGATTTTTCCTTTACTATGTTGATTTTCGCTTCAAATTATGCAAAAAGACGCAGTTCACATTGTTCTATTCAACGTTTTCACAATTATTTTAAATTGAAATCTATTATGGCGTATTGTCAGTTCGTAGCGTATAAAAACGCCATTCATTATACATGATTCAAAATTTCATGATTTTTGACGATTGTCAAAAACAATGCCAAAAGGTTTTTTTTTTTTTTTTTTTTTTTTTGACATGACAAGATAGAACAAGATAGATAAAACCCTCAGTTGTCAAAAACTTTCCAACCCAGCCTAATTATGATAAGTGCTGAAAAATATTTTTTGAGCGCTTAAAAGGTACTTATTTTCTGTTGAATAATTTGGTAACCTGGTTTTTCAGCATCAGTCCGAAGGCTCCGTTTCATTTGCTGTGCCAATATCGAATAATGACGTAATTTATCTTTCTTTTTTTAAATCAACCTTCATATTTTGATCTTGATTTTTCTTTTATTTTTCCTATTTTTTCTTTAAATGCAACATATGTTATTGTATCGGAAACTTTTGCTTCACATTTTTCTGCTTGATACAGTTTGTTAAGAAAACACGAATAATTTATTGCAATCCGGCTGCCATTTTTAGTTCGATTCCATTCACTGGTTCGACTGTCGAAACGTAATTCTGGACATGAATGAAAAAGAAATCAGCCTTATCCTTTTCTATCTGAGAGACTGGGGGGGGGGAAGGGGGGAAAGACACCAACCTCTTAAGGGGGAAAATTGTTAACGTATACTTTGAGTACTAAAAATGTTCGGAATCGGAAGGCATGTCCTTTAAATGGAATCTTTTTTCCCACATTCTACCTTCAGCATAATATTCCTTTCGGAAGGCAAATCAAGGTCAGCCTCACCCATAGAGGACAGGTGGGAAGCCCAGTTACCGGAAGTGAGAGCCCCCTCTTCCCCATCTTTGTTCCAAAGAGGGTGCAGACGACAAAAGGGTCATTCCATTCCCCGGCGTGGCCTTTGCAACTATGCTGAGGTGCAGGTGATCGCTTCAGACGATTCCGTAAAGAGGCATCCCCCAATGCATATTTCGAAATGCTGAAATGTATGCTATTTAAGAATTTTATTTTATTTTTTGGTGATGTATTGAAGGGCAGTGACTGAAGAGAAGTTCAGTTTCAGTTGACTTTTATTCAGTTGTTTATTAACAACGTAGTGGGGGGGAAAATGCAAACGACTTTGTGTTAGTACTAAATCTTTTTTCATTTGTTGCTGTATTTCGAATATTTTCGTTTAGAGCTTTCTGGAACACAATTTAGATAATTTTTTTTTTTTTAAATCTAAGGAAGCATTCTTTTGTATTCTATGTTATTATGTTATTTAATGTGTGAATCATAAATGCTCATAAATATTTTAATCGTTTCATCGAATGAGTTGGCAACTAATATTCATAAGTATTTCAATCGCCATCGTTTAAAAAATATGCAGCAAATGATCACAAATATTTTAATCGTATCATTTAATGAGTACGCACACAAATGCTCTCAAATATTTTAATCGTATTATCTAATGAGTTAGTATACAACCAATGTTCTCAAATATTCTAATCGTATCATTTAATGAGTACACCACGAATGATCACAAATCTTGTACGATTATGAGTGTACAACAAATGTTCACAAATATCTTTTAATTACATCATTTAATGAGCATATGACAAACGCTTGCAAATCTTTTATGTGCCATTCAAAAAAAATTTTTTTTTGATATTTGTAATTTTTTATGTAGTTGAAAATATTAATTTAAAAAAAAAATTATTTTTAATTTTGTTTTGAATAAATTAATTAAAATTTTCTTTTAAATGTTTTAAAGCATAACAGAATTGCTGATTATTGATATTTTGGGGATACATTTTACCTTAGAAATTACCTTGGTTACATTTTATTCTAGAAATTACCCTGTGTACAATTTATCCTAGAAATTACCCTTGATACATTTTACTCTAGAAACTACCCTGTTTACATTTTATCCTGAAATTACTCTGAGTGTATTTTACTTAGAAATTTGGTGATAACTTATGTGATAGCTTATGGCTACATTTCTGTAATACTGTATTTCTAATTATTCATACCAAGCTACCATCAGTCATATTTCCCTTTAAAAAACTGGATCTCCCGTAGGTGTCACTTTAAATAACCAACCCTATCTTTTAGAATGGAAGAAGAATCGGTAATTAAGCGTTACAACTGACTGCGAGTGTAATTAGGAAAAGCCCTCTGGGCCATAGAGTAAAGAGTATAGGTAGAGTTGACATGAGAAAGTAACAGTGAAGCCATCACTGTAACCGGTCGGCCATATTGGTTTATGCAAAACATTCGAATGCTGCTATCTTCTACACGTTGAACTTGCTGATCAATGTTATTTTTATCGTTTTTTTTTTTATTTCTCTTTAACGATTTTCTTTATTTTACCTTTTAAACATTGAATTTAATTATATTTTGCTTGTAAAAATGACGAACTGCGTTGCATATGGCTGTACGAATGGATGGACAAAGAAAATGCCTGGAATTTCATTTCATAGGTAAGTGTAAATTCAATTCTCTTCATCATTTTCTAATTTAGTATTTTTAAATTCTGTTCTTACAGAATGTCAGAAGACTAAAGATTTTTTTTCTTCTTCTTAACTATTAGCTATTCATTTCAAACCTAACCTTGATTCTTATCAATTTTTATTGAAATGAATCAAAATAGAATTTCTAAGTGGCTTATAGAATATCAAAACTATAAAACTAATTGTAAATAAGATAATGTAATTTTGTTTACTTTTATACTGCTTAATTGACAATTATTATGGCATAATTATAGTATCATGTGTTATTCGAATTAGTGGGAATGGTTAAAAGTATTTATTTTATTTGCTACAATATTTTTTGCTTTTATGAAATTTAATCTATCATGAAGAGTTTCTCAAATAATTTTGTGTGTTTTTCTGTTATTTACTGTTATTGATCATTATTCCGTAATCTAAACATTAAAAATCAGCACTGTTGCTTTTTCAATTGTAATTCCAAACTGTTGCTCTGCTATTAAGTGGAATTTAAAAATATGATCGTAATGTCTAGTTTGTCAACAATTTGATTTTTATTCAACCGCTATTTTATTTATGATCACTCTTGCACTGATGAATGACATGAAATTTTTTGAGAGCTTTTAACACACAAACATAATTTAAAAAATCCACCCAAATTGTTACTTTTTTTCACTTTTATAACCTTGGTGGAAACCTTT